AACTACTGAAGTAAACATGGAAAAGAGACCGTTTACAAAAGAATAGTTCACTGTACGTATGGAAAAGGACCAAACATCATTTTATATAGTGGTTTTAAGAATAAAGACTTTGGAATCAAATTCCCTGGTCTGGATCTCACCCTTGCCATGTCCTTTGAGCCTCATTTCCTCAACTATCAAGCTGAAATACTAATAAGACTGCATAGGGTTAATGTGAATACTGAGTGAGATAGTACTCAGTAATCAGCATACCTAGAATTCAGTAAAGATTCAAAAACTGTTATCTTAAAAGATAATCTATACTTCCTCATGGAAGAATACATCATCTATGAGATGCTTTTGCCAAAAAGTCAAACGTGAGTCTGATCAAGTCCTTAGCTTTAACTAACATTCATAGGACAAAGGAACATGTAAAACTATACAAATGGAATAAAAATCAGCAGATCCGGACTGAGGAAACTCTGTTAAGACCAACAACCAGTTTCTTCAACAAATAAATGGCCAAGAAAAAGAGATGGAGGGAAGCCTAAAAAGAGTTTAAACACTTTAAAGGCCACCAATCACAATGTGGAACTCATTTGGTTCGATCTTGACTCAAACAGTTAAAAATTGGGCGCCTGGGTGGCTCAGTTGGTTAAGCGACTGCCTTCAGCTCAGGTCATGATCCCAGGGTCCTGGGATCGAGTCCCGCATCGGGCTCCCTGCTCTGCAGGGAGCCTGCTTCTCCCTCTCCCACTCCCCCTGCTTGTGTTCCCTCTCTCGCTGTGTCTCTCTCTGTCAAATAAATAAATAAAAATCTTAAAAAAAAAAAAAAAAAACAGTTAAAAATTTAAAAATGTAAATATCTGAGTCAACTGGAAAGTTGATCCCTTATATTACTTAAGGAATTATTTATGTATGATATTACTGTAATGTCCAAAGACCCTTTATCTTTAAAGAGATATATACTGAAATATTGACAAATGAAATCATGTATCTGGATATACTTCAAAACAACACATAAGGTATGGAATAAGTTGGGGTATAGATGAAATGAGATTGAGTTGATAACTGTAAATACATGAGGATGCATTATACTGTTATCCACTTTTACATGTGTTAAAAATTCTTCATAATGAAGTTTTTTAAAAAATAGGGAATGATATAAAACTGCAACCAACTCCATACAGAATTAAGATTCTATCTAGAAGAGTTAAGTAACAGCTCTCACCATTGCTTAGTGTTCAATATGTCCCAAGTATTAAGTTTTACATAATTTAATTCTAAATTAAGTTTTGACCTTCCTAAACCGATTCCTGAAACTGAAATTACTTTTACATGATAATTTTTGAACAGCATTTTTGTAATAATTCCTATTATCATAGGAGTAATCTACTTTGGAAGCATGGGATTCACAAAAATCAGCTTACTAAAACTTGTAAGATCAAAGCAAATATCTCCTGACAGTTAATGAATAAATAAAATATGGTATAATCATGTAGCAGATACCAAAGTAACAAAAATAATGATCACTACATGCAAAAACATGGGCACATTTCATAGATAACTTTAAAAAAATAAACCAAACACAAACTCTCATGGCATGTTTTCATTCATGTAAAGTTCAGAAATTGGAAAACCAGTCTGTGGTACAAGAGTTGAGTATAGCAGTTACCTTTGGGGTAGATATTAACTGGGGGTGGATATTAACTGGGGGGTATATATTAACTGGAAGGGATATAACATGGTGGGGGGTGAGGTTCTATATCTTCATCTGGGTAGTGGTAATATGGGTGTGTGTGTGTGTGTGTGTATACATGTAAAATTTCAGCAAGCTATACACTTAAGATTTGGGTACTTTCCTGTATATAAATTATACCTCAGGGAAAAAAAAGTCAAAAAAAGAAAAAATATATTTATCTGAACTATACCCTCAACAACCAAATCAGCATTAGAAAGGGAAAAGTATAAAATACTTAAGAGTATACACATATATTCTGCAGGGAAAAGTCATCCTCTCTCCCACCATTTTACCTACTCTGTCTCTCATTACAGATTTTTATCTCCTTGTATAACTCCCTACTTTTACAAATGAAATAATGATTTTTTTTTTAAATACTGACATAACAGACCTAACAGTTCTCACATAAATTTTTATGATTATTTCATTTATAGCTTTTTGAGAATGACTTTTACAAGTAATAAATATTCTACTTACAAATTATTAAGTTCACCAACAATACTTGAATTTCTGTGGTATTCCTCATATATGGCATTCAGTGAATGTCATAAGTGATATGCTTGTAAGTTCAAAATGTTTCCTACATAATGAATTCAAGAATTAGCAATTTTAGTGACCCTTCTCATATAAACTATAGTAAATGATCAATTCCAACACACGAGGGAATTTTATTCTAGAAAAATGTTTAGTTCACCTCTTAAGTTTACAAAAGAAAACTAACTTCTTTCCTCCTATATTTTGAAAACCTATTTTCAAAATACAAGTGGCCGCTCAAAAAAAACAAAACAACACCTGTGTAAGAAGCTATTTACTTCACAAGAATATGAGACCTAAAAATCAGAATTTCCCCTATAATTCGGAAATGTTTGGTAAATACCTCAGAATATTCTTAGTTTTAAATACTGAAGTTTTCATTTTTGTCCAACAGAAACAAGCTCACATTTAACCTTGTATTATTACTTTACTAACTACTCAAAATGAAAACAGTCATCTATTTCTAAATCATGAAGTAAAATATTTATATTTAGCTCCTTTAGTGAACTGCACCCTTACATAAATTGACTCAGGTCAATAAAGAGGACATACAAAGTCAGTATAAGCCACTACTCATCTCCTACCTTCTTCAGCTAGCATTCCACATTTGCAGACAGATATGGTTAATGAAATAAATTCAAAACTACCCCATTGTGACTTCTTCTTGTTTACTTTCATTGTCCTAGGAAAAGCATGACCCACCACTAAATCAGTGTAAGTAGAGGCATGCTATCCCAAAAATCAGACGTTTAATGTCATTTTTTAATTAACAGAGTAAGATTACTTATACCAGAAATTCTGTATTAGTAATGATATTTCAGCTTAGAGGCCATTAACTAGGTATATAACCTCACTCAGGCCCTCATAACCTTCCGGTGGCTTCAGTGTCTCCCCCAGGAAAAAGGAAATTGTATTAGTTCAGAGACTGCAAATACATGACACATGCGTGGGCTGCTACTCCCCCTCTGAACAACCACTACTAACTGATCAGAGATGGATTCAGAAATGGCACCTGAGGTGAAATTTATCTGTTATTGCTAGGCAAGTGATCTACACTTCCTTTCCCTTTGAACATTCTGTCTGTGACCCACATGCACTGAACAGCTCAGACACACATATATACAATATACATAAGCTAACTTTACCTTAGGGTTAGAACCTCAATTATCATATTTAAATGTACATTCTTTTTTAAAAAGAACATGTCACTATTTATTCATTTCTCTATTTCAGATGTAAAAGTGACAAATAATCAAGTCTAAATGGATGAAATACTGTATCTTTCTCAATTTGCTAAACATGCAAAATAGTGTTGTTTAATATGAACTACATTCTTGATACTGAGGCATACCTGACCATGCCTGAGGAGATCCCTATGAAAAGAATTTACTGAAAAGCTTCACGGAAAATCAACTAGGAATGTTTACCTTGTTACTTACCTTAAGGCAGATGCACACCCAGTTACAGACTGATACAGAACTCGTAAAGGTGAGCACCCTGACATGTGGTTAGGCAATTACATAATTCTGTCAAAGTGTTATTTCTAGCATCTTCATGTAGTTTCTGAATGTCAAACGCCCCCTGTAAAGAAAGTTCTTCCTCCTAAGTGCTCCACTCCAAATTTCCAATTCCTCCTTCTTCGTCCCTATCAAATTCTCACTCCCTCAACGCAACTTTCAACTGTTAGAAAAACATTCTGATTCAAGTGAAATTATTTTTTGCTTTTTTTCAGGGGAGAAAGCCAAAATCAGGGAGGAAGAGGGAAATAACAATTGTTTGGCACCATTAAAAAGTGAAAATCTGTGGAGAAAGGGAGATTCATTGGTCAAAACAGAAAGTAAGTGCTTATTATGGGCCAATTAATGTGTTCAGTGAGAGAGATATGGTAATTAAGATAAGACCCACTCCTGGCAGAGATTAAACTGGCCAGGAACAATAACTAAAGCAGTATCAATGAAACAAATTATTTGTGCCATGAGAGTTGGATATAACATAGTCTTAAAAATCAGAGAAGGCCTCAGGGCACCTGGCTGGCTCAGTCATAGAGCATGTGACTCTTGATCTCAGGGTTGTGAGTTCAAGCCCTAATATTGGGCATAGAGCCTACTTAAAAAAAAAAAAAAAAAAAATCAGGGAAGGCCTGCTATGCAAAGATTAGCCAAGGATACAGCAACATATGAGAAATAACATGAAACACTTGAGGAACTGCAAAAACTATAGTACACCTGACACAGAGAAGCAAGATATGAAGCTCAGACATCAACTGAAGGCCTTGGAAGCCACTCTAAGGAACTGGACTTTATTTCAAAATGCAATAGAGACTGAAGCTGACTTATTTGAAGACCATAGGTGCACTTTTACAAAAGTCTCTATCAGCCTACTTCATGCATTGTTGGAGAGGCTTGATCAAGAAGGGGGAGGTGTGAAGAAATAACGGGAGAAATGAACAGTACATCAGAGACTTTAGAGTATACTTAAGACATCGCGAGTTAGAGCTACAATGCCTCAAACATAGATGCTCAGTCATATGCATCATTATGTACTATGCAAAAAGCAATTATGGAGAGGAGGAAGAATCAAGAACTCAAACAAACTTAGATTAATGTCTTAACTGAGAAGTCTTAGCAAGAACTGGATTTTTGTAAAATTAAAGACACAGCTCTCACTATTTTTTGTCTATTATTTTTAAACAAGGTTGGTTGGTTGGTTGTTTTTAACTGGGTTCAATTTAAAAGACACTATTCACCTTGTTATACATATATCTAAGCATGAAGTCCAGCAGAAATGATTTCCCTTTACGAAAAGCTCCTGCCACGGATACCACTACTATGTTAAGATCTCGTATGTGCTCCTGTAGCAATATCTGCTCCAAAGCTTCTTCATCGAGCTCAAAGTTATGGTCATCTTCATGAGCAAGAACAATCTGTACTGGACATGGTTTCTTCATAACCTCATCAGAGTTTACTAGGTCATCATCTTCATAATTCTCACCTAGAATTAAACCAAGAGAAAGAGGTTACTTGAATTCCTGCATTACAAACTTCTCCTAAAGGATCACAAATAAAACAAAACTTCAAGTGACTTCCCCCTTATTCCAGATCATCTGAAAATAGTTACAAAAAGTGATGTTCAAGCACATATTGGATTTCTCACTCCCACTGTAATTGGACCAAGAATATTGCTAAGACTTCCCACTATATATACAGATAAGCCGCAATACGAGTACAGCCTCTACTATTAAGTCTTAACAGCTACATGTGAACAGTAGCTGTTTCTTGAGCACTGCCTTATTCTATAAACAACTTCTGCTACTATATGCACACAGAAACTGGATCTGTGCAAAAGGGGGTTGGGGGGGTCAATTTTGCCCAATAACTCAGAATCCAATTTTTCCCTGTGGGCATCACCTGGAAATTACTCTAAGTTACAAACGTTAAAACAGGAATTGTAAACATTGTTCACTGTGAAACTTAAATGGCTAAGCTAAGGTCCTAAGAAGTTTCTAAAACTGGCACTTACGGTAAAGCTAACGAGCCCCTAATTTAGTAAAAGTAACCTAATAGTACACTTCCCTTATTAAAGCAAAGAACAGGATTAATATTTTAGTGGAAAACACAAGAAGAGTCAGTAAGGTGCAGAGTTATATCCTATAGTTACACTGGCCTCCGGGCTCTTTTTCAAAGACCACAGCCACCACTTCAAAAATCACATAACTCCCCCAAAACAGCTATATAAACTCTTCCTTTGTTTACCCAACACACTAAATGAAGGTAACCTTTGCCCAAGAACTTTACTCAATAGTAATGAATAACTATAAAACATGAAACAGCAGAGACAAATTTCTAAAGTGTAGGCTTCTGTTCTTTTAAAAACAAAACAAACAAAAACACCTAAAAGCTAGTTTCAGAGTCTATATCCCTTGTCTGGCTTTATTCCCTATCAACTGCCTGATTCCATGTAGTAACAACTTACTCCTGGGGACCTTATTTATTATCCTTTCCCACATCAACATTTTTAAAAGACTCTCCCCTTGAACCTGTCTACTAAATGCCCCTTCCCAATCTATGGAGACATACCATATCCATCGTGTCCCTTCTCTCCCAGGAGACAGTCTACTGAGGAGTGGCCCATTGTTAGCCAACACTACAAGAATACCTTATCCAACTAACCACTATTCTTAAAGATTATCTATCTACATTAATGGACTTTTTTTCTCCTTACATAAAGAAATATCTAGCTTATTTGATTTGCAAAAGCTAGGAGCCTTTACTTCCACATCACAAGGCACCTTTAACTGTACACAGCAAAAACAGCAACACTATTTCAAAATGTGCTGCAAACAATGAAAATATAAAGAGCAAGCAATTTCAAAGGAGAATCTTTGAAAGTAAAAGCAATCAATATTTAATTAAAGAGGATATTACCACTTCCAGTTTCAATGGTACACAAATATAGAGTGGTACCTAACTGGTCTCCCTTTTTGCCCCCTCCTCTAATCCAATCTAAATTCCACAAAGTAGCAACTAAATAATATAGGTAAATATCAGTGTGATTAAATTATACTCTCCTTAAAAATCACTGTTATGGAGGATTAACAACTAAAATCCTACACATGTCTTATAAAATCCTGTACTCATTGCCAAATCTCTCCTGCCTCATTTGGTACTACTCTCGCCTCGGTAAACTACAAACAGACAAGCTAGCCTTTTTTCAGATCCTTATGTTATTAAAGCTCTTTCTAGACTCGTATTTCATTCATGATATTCCTTTGTCTGGAATATTCTTTTCCACGTCATTGCCCTAATCAATTCATGCTTATTCCTTAGGTCTCAGTTTAAACATCATTTCCTCAGGAATATCTTTGCTGAGGCTCCTAACCAAGTTTAGTCCTCCTACACTCCCCCAATCTGAATCCACCCATCATTTGAATATTTATGTAAGTACTTATTTATTATATGTCTCCCCCTCTAGACTATCAATCCTCTGTTTAAAACCCTCAATTAGGGGCGCCTGGGTGGCTCAGTCGTTAAGCATCTGCCTCCGGCTCAGGTCATGATCCCAGGGTCCTGGGATCGAGTTCCACATCGGGCTCCCTGCTCGGCAGGAAGCCTGCTTCTCCCTCTCCCACTCCCCCTGCTTGTGTTCCTGCTCTCACTCTCTCTCTCTCTGTCAAATAAATAAATAAAATCTTTAAAAAAAATAAAATAAAATAAAACCCTCAATTAGCAAACAGAGAGAAAAAACAAAACAAACTCTAAGTTCTTTACCATGACCTCCACAGTCCTGTGTGTTCTGGCTCCTACAGTCTAGTCCTCTAGCGGTTTCCTTGAGCAGGCCAAACCTGTTTCCCACCTTAGAATCTTTGTCCTGTTTTCCCCTGTCTGGAATGCTCTGTCCCTAGAAATTCAGGTGGCTTAATTCTCCATCATCTAGATCTCAGCTGAAATATTCTCTCTTAAGTGTGGCCTTCCTTGACCACTCAGTCTAAATTACAGACCCCCCACATCACTTGAACAAAACAGGTTTTTTTCCCCACAGTCCTTTTCAGTATCTAAAATAATGCTTTATTGTTTACATGTCTACCTTGTATCTCTCCCTCCATAGAATATATGTACCACAAAAATAAGGATCCCGCTGCCTTCCACCCAGGTCATGATCTCAGGGTCCTGGAATTGAGTCCCACATCAGGCTCCCCGCTCTGCAGGGAGCCTTGCTTCTCCCTCTGCCTGCCACTCCCCCTACTTGTGTGCTCCCTGTCTCTCTCTGACAAATAAAATCTTTAAAATAAAATAAAATAAGGACCCCAATCACCCTTTTGACCACTCTTGTCTCCCAGCACCCAGAACAGTGCTTGGCACCTAGCAGGTGCTTAATAAATATTTCTTGATTGGATAAAATTTACACATTTTACTCAGGAGTTTTATACCTGCCGCTATGTATTTTATGAGCAAATCTGACAATCACATAATTAGTTTGGGAAAATACTTCCAGCAACTCAAGAGTAGTATATATATATATATATATATATTTTTTTTAAAGTATGAGGTTCTACCAAGTAATACACTAATTAAAAAGAATCCAAAATGAATAAAGTATGCTAAAATATCACAATGACCAAATCTGGATTGCTGATTTTGTTAAAATCAACAAATAGTCTTGTTCCTACTGTAAAGAAAGCATTAGTTTCTGAAAAATAAAACAGACAGGGGGCGCCGGGGTGGTTCAGTTGGTTAAGTGTCTGCCTTTGGCTCAGGTCATGATCCCAGGCGGGCTTCCTGCTCAGCTGGCAGTCTGCTTCTCCCTCTGCCTGCCACTCCCCCTGCTTGTGCTCCCTCCCTCTCTCTCTCTCTCAAATCAATAAAATCTTTAAAAAAATAATAATAATAGGGGCGCTTGGGTGGCTTGGTCGTTAAGCATCTGCCTTCAGCTCAGGTCATGATCCCAGAGTCCTGGGATCGAGCCCACATCGGACTCTCTGCTCCACGGGAAGCCTGCTTCTCCCTCTCCCCCTGCTTGCGTTCCCTCTCTCGCTGTGTCTCTGTCAAATGAATAAATAAAATCTTAAAAATAATAATTAATAAATAAAACAAACCACTTGGCAGGAAATTTTTTTTTTTTTTAAAGATTTTATTTATTTGACAGAGAGAGACACAGCGAGAGAGGGAACACAAGCAGGGGAGTGGGAGAGGGAGAAGCAGGCTTCCCGCGGAGCAGGGAGCCCGATGCGGGGCTCGATCCCAGGACCCTGGGATCATGACCTGAGCCGAAGGCAATCGCTCAACCGACTGAGCCACCCAGGCGCCCCGGCAGGAAATTTTTATTAGCTTGAAATTTCACCTAGATTAGTTGACTACAGTTATCACTTAGCCAGTTTTCTTTGATTAGCATGGATAAAGATAGGTACCTCAGATATATAGGCAGCAGATGTCTACATAGTCACCATTTCTAGTCTACAGACTTCTAAAGTGCAGCAAACATGTTTCAAAGGTATAATGGAGCACAATGACATGGTTCACTAAGTTTACTCCCCCATCATGATTGCTCTACCAAATCTGTAGTAACTACAGATAAAGTACTTCATTCATCAAATACTGATATAAGCAACTGAATAATTATAATGTACATTTCATTAGACTACTTGTAAACATTAACATACAGTGATTACCTAGATTGGAAATCTTTTTAAATTTAGCATTACTCTGAGATTTTAAACTGAAGTTAAATGCTTGCAGAGAATAGTGATTTTAATTCTATTTCCATTTCTCAGTGTCAAAAAATGACTGAAGGTGACTTCAGACCTCCAATAAATTTTCCTGATTCACTGTTCCAAGTCAGTTCTTCCCCCACTCCAACTCCCAAATGGATCTTTCAAGGTCAAAGCTGAAAGATACCTACCTAGATAAGATCAACCGTTCCTCAAATATTTCCCCATGCCTTAACGCTAAGTATACTTAACCTATTTGTCACAAGGCCTACAAAAAGACATTTGTCTTAGTAAAAAAAAGAACAGTAGTTGCCACTGGTTGAGGGGGAAGGACACATGACCAGGTGGAGCACGAGGATTTTTAGGGCAGTTAAACTATTCTCTCTTAAGGTAGACATATGGTATTACACATTTGTCAAAACGCACAGAATATGCAACCCCGTAAGTGAAGCCTAATGTAATCCGTGGGCTTTGAGTAATAATGAGGTGTCAATGAAGATTGTAACAACTGTACCACTTTGGTCTGGAGCAGGGAGGCTGTTGATGTGTGGGGACTGGGGTACATGTGTACTCTGTATTTTCCACTCAATTTTGTGATGAACCTAAAATTCCTCTAAAAAAGGAAATCTACAAAAAAAGACACTTGTCTTTTTTATTGCTCTTTAAACATACTTTATCTTAAATCTGCCAAATTCATACATTCAGCATATATTCCTATGGCAAAATTTACACTTCAGGACTGACCTAGATCTGTCTGCCAGCTTCCAGCATAATTATAAGCTGAGGC